ATGTAATAGTGATAGAAATTTCATAGAAAGAAAAAGACTGATTAATTAAACTTAAACAACAATTTATTATTAAAAAGTGTGAATTCAATATAAAATAACTCCTCCCCTGGCTCGAATACATGCGAAGATCCTCCTGGGCATGCTGAGGATCAAGTTATCCAGCATTTCCTGGGGTAACCTATCCCATTCTTCAATAGCGGCTTCCCTGAGCTCTGGAACTGTCTGGGGACGTGGCTCACGGTTCCATACTGCTCGTTTAAGAACATCCCACGCGTGCTCTGTTGGGTTTAAGTCGGACGAGCCGGCAGGCCAGTCTAATCGTGTGATATCGTATTCTTGAAGAGCAGCATTGACTCGTTGAGCTCGATGTGCGGGCGCATTATCATCGACCAGTACAAATTGGTGCCCATGGTTTACTCGGAATGGTCTGACGATATCATCAATAGCAACTGCTTTGTACATGTCTGCTGTCATGAAGCCCCGATACGGGATCAAAGGCGTTCTAGCTCCAATCATAATGCGACCCCAAAAGGACACCGATTCTCCGCCTTGCTAAACTGTTCCAGTGGCAGTTCTTTGTCTTTCACGGTCGCCTGGTCTTCTCCAGACACGGACACGTCGGTTATCTGGATGAGTGCTGATTCGGGATTCGTCAACGAAGAGACAGTTTTGCCAAATGTTTTCGTCCTCACCTTCTTCATTTTGCCGAAGTCTAGCCCACTGCAATCTTCGTTGTTGACGTTGCCGGGAATTGAGCGGAGCTCGCCAAGACCTCCGTGCTCGTAATTCAGCCTGGTGCAAGCAATTGCGAACGATCTGCGTGCTAACTTCAAGCCCAGAGGCGGCCCTGACTTCTGCTTTTATTTTAGTGGCGTTGATTGTTGGATCACGGGCTGCCAGCAATCTAATATAGCGCTTTTGGGCAGCTGTCAAAACAGTTGGGCGACCGCTGCGGGGTCGGTCAGCTAAATTCCCCATTCCGTGATACCTCTGCAACGTAGCCACGACACAGGATTGGGATATAGCAAGTCTGCGTGCTATTACTCTCGTGATGTATCCTTCTTCCCTCAAAGTTACTATTCTAGCTCGTAAAACCTCTGATAATCCTCTTGGCATTTTTTCAATCACAACTTTCCGCGAAAAATATCTTGAATCGCTTATAATTGACTAAATCAGATTTCTGAATGAGCGTAAGCTAGGACTGAAAGCCTTTTTATATGAAAAAACAATTGAACGGGGTCATTGTTTTATGTTCTAATTTATTTTTAAATAAAGAATCTAAATAAAAAGAAGAAAAAATCATAATATAATCTACAGTAACAAAAAAGATTTCAGTTTTTCGAAGTGATCGCAAACTTTTTTTGATGTGTGTATGTGGAGGGTGTGTAATAAGATACTACTTCGTCCTCCTCATTCTTATTATTATGATCTTTATTTTTCTCTAGGCTAGTTTGAACCACAATTACGGGGCGAAACAAGAAAATGCAGTATAACGTGTATCTATGTGGAGGGTGTTTAATAAGATACTACTTCGTCCTCCTTATTCTTATTATATGCTGTTTATTTTTCTCAGCTTGTTACTTGGTTTGAACCACAATTACGGACCGACATCAAGAAAATGCAGTATAACGTGTATCTAAGTGGAGAGTGTGTAATTAGATACTACTTCGTCCTCCTTATTGTTATTTTATGATCTTTATTTTTCTCAGCTTGTTAGCTGGTGATGCATGAACTTAATGAATATGATATGATAATGAATGAATATGATAATGAATTAATATTATTATGTACTTCTTTACTTTTCTCAGCTTGTGGACTGGTTTAAACCACAATTACGGACCGATATATCGGTCTATAGATATATCCAGCTATATATAACATAATTAACACCGAAATAAAAGTTACCAGACAAACTAAAACGAAATTACCCTAAAAAAAGATATCGGCAGCTAAACATACCTTACCTTTGGCAATGACTACACAAGAATTACTTCGCTGTAGGCATTAATTATGTAGCAGTCATTTATTAAAATAACAATTACGAGTAAATAAAACACTTATTTCCCGTTTGTTTCAATTCATTTTCATAATCATTTCCTTCAATTTATCGTATAGTATGAGATCAGAATGACCCATTTAAACTGTCAACTAAAGCTTCGAGATTAAAATAGCATTGATGCAATCCGGAGTGAAAGATATTATGTGAAAATGTAAATAGTCAAATTCTTTGGTATACTTCTCAGCAGCAGTAGAGCTCCTTGTGCAAGAGATCGTCAAGGAAAGTACTGCCAACTTACCTATTTCTGCTGCCAAGCAGTAATGTTAGCATTACTGCGTTCCGGCTTTGGAGGGTAAAGATGCTGGTAAAATTACTGGCACACGGAACTTGTCAACTTGTCTCAGAGTGACGGGTGCAGTGGCAGTGCCCCTCAGATCTTTGCGATTTAAAGCTCTGAGTGGCACTGCAACTGTTATGGACAGGCGTGTAGCTTACCATCAGGCACACGACTTGTTCGTGCCGTCACTTGATGTTATATATACTTTATATATATACTTGTCACAGTTCACGATGTTTCCCTCAGTGTGGAAGTAATTATTTGTTATTTCATCTAAATTTGCAAAAGATTACAAAAATCACTTAGGCTTTTGAATTACATCATCAACCCATTTACACGTCCCACTGCTTGACACGGGTCTCCTCTCAGGCGAGAGTTTAGACCATAGTCCGCCACGTTGTTCCAATGCGGGTCGGCAACTTCACGCGTTATCCAAGAGTTGGGAATCTTCTTCAACTTGCAGGTTTCATCACGATATTTTCCTTCACCGAAAAGTTCATGGTAAATTTCAAATTAGGTTACTACTGTTCTTGTAAATCAGTATTGCAAAATCCACAACACTTACAAAGACGTAATTCTATCCGTAATTATTATGAAGATGACACTACGGTATGAGTAATTCCTTACAAGTTTATTGACTTTATGCCATATGGCTCTTACACCAATTGCCGACCGCCTTCCCGGTCTAATTACTGACCTCGATATGGTGTTAAGAATTTGCGTTATGGAAAAAATTTGAAACGAAGTTTGTTTTGCTTTGTTTGTGATATGTAAAACTTTCGCATTATAGTTTTTAATATCAGATTTTGTAGTGAGTCCTAACAAGCACTATTTCTGGGCATAGATTTGGTATTTTAACTGGCTACGTGACATAACGAGATGCTAGACTGCCACGCAGAGGTCCCGGGTTCGATTCCTGAGAGAAATATTTGTATGGCCTACGTTTATTTATCTAGTGAGTTAGGTATAATTTGTGGTTGTCTATGTGTGTATCCATGGCATCCGCCACACAGGGTTTCCCTAGTGCGGGGCTATGATTTTTTTAAATTGAAATAAATGGTAGTAAATATTGGGTTTGGCAGAAGAAAGAACTTGAAAGTAGAATTAACGCAGTGGAAATGAGGCTTTTAGAAGTATGGCTGGAGTGACTCTGGTGGACAAATTGCGGAAAAGTGGAATAACAGAGCGTTGCGGTGTGAAGATGTAGTGACATAGATAGAGAAAGAGATGCTTAGATGTTTCGGACATGCAGAGAAGATGAATGAAAGAAAATTTACGAAACAGATATATAAGGCGAGAGTGAGTGGGGAACTTGGTAAGGGCCGACCAAGGCAAACTAACCATGACCAAATTGTGAACGTCCTAAAGAAGGACCAGAACTCAAGAGGACCCGACTAGCACTAGCACTTATGCGGCGTCCACGAGGCGAAAGACGTGTGTCAGGATCGTAGCAGTGGAAGGCTGTCGTTTCTATGTACACCAATGGAAAAAGGGCGTGAAGTATATATTTATGTACATCAAGTATGTAAACCGGTAATCCCTTTAGGATAAGCGGATAATCTAACTGTTAACTATTTTGCACTTGCAGTTTTTACGTACTTATTTATGGAAACCCTTAATAACCTATTATAAACCTATTTACAATACATTACTCATCATTTTGACTTTATCGTAGTCAGTTTAAAACGTAACTATAATTGATTTTAAAAAAACGATTATTGTTTGACGGAGTCATTGATTTCTATTTATTCTTCTTTTTATGGACAAAATAATTGAATTAAATTAACCATGTGACCAATCAGTGACCATCTTCCGGCGATGGTAATAGTCTTCTCAAAATTGCTTCTTATCCTTGCTATAAAGATGAATGTTTTGTTATGCTATGAGAACTACTTTGAAATCGCTATATGTATATCATCATGTTCTACACTAGAATGCTAATCTACTCACCTATTATATCGTTTAATATAATGGAACAGCTGATCATGTCCGCAAGTTCCTAAAGATGCTCATAGTAAAATTGTTCGTATTCATGGGTAGAAATACCTTTTAGAAATCTTGTAAATCTTTACGGGTCATCCTGTATATTATAGGTATAATGTAATGCTGTCGAGTTAAGTAATTTTTGAAGCCGTACGGAATTCATTCATCAAACATGATGACGTTACACTAAGGAATGTCACGAATGGTGGTGGAACATCGACTGACCATGCGCAGAAGAAACGAGCGCACTGATGTCAGCGAGCGTTACTGCACAGATGTCAGAGCGTAACGGTTGAATTTGTGAGATAATGTCATAGCTATTATGTAGATATTCGTGATATTAAGTATAAATTATGTGGTACAGAATGAAATAGGGTGTATCACAATCGTAACGTGATAATCGCCGATAAAGTCAACGCAGAAATTTTCAATAGACCTCTTACTTTCAAATTATGGTTTTGTTCGCCATGTCAATTACTATAGGTCTTTCCTAAAAAGTTCTATTTCATTGAAAGTTCTCTGTAAACTTTTCATTTTTTTCTTAGTGCGTTTAGGGAGTTTTTGCAGTACCTATACAAAGAATAGGGCAGCATCCATCATCCGAGCGGACGTCCGCTTTGACATAAGTAAAAGTAGATAGGTATAGGTAGGTGTCGGTGGGAGTTTAAGAGCCAAACTGACCTGATTTTCCTGGTTGAGCATCTTGAGTTGGTCGTTGATGAGGCTGAACTTGGCGCTTTCCTCCTTACGCAGCGCGCGCTCCTTTTTGAGCTCGGGGCTCCAGAAGGTCTTTATACTGTGCATGCTGGAGCCGAGCTTCTGGTTGGTGAGCTCCAGCTCCTTCTTGAGGTTGCCCAGTTCGCGTTGCAGGTCGGTGTTCTGGGATTGTAGTTCGCCGAGAAAGAGCGGTGGTGGCTCGCGGCGGTAGTAGTCGTCTTCGGGCGGCGGCGGCGGCGCGTACGAGCGCTCGTAGTCGCGCTCCAGCGACTGGTAGCGCAGCGGGCGCGGGCGCCGGTGGTGCGCGCCGGCCGACGCCGAGCGGCCGCGCTCGTCGGGCGCGGGCGAGGGCTCGTCATCGCGCTGGTAGGGGCTGCGCCGCGACGGGCTGCGGTCCACCTGCGGCAGGCGCGCGCGCCCGCCGCCCTGCCACTCCTCGCGCCGCCGCCACTCGTCCCGGCACGGCGGCCGCTCGTCCTCGCCCGCGTACTCGCGTAGATACAGCTTGGCGATTTCCCGCCTCACTGGGGACGCATGGTGCACTGGACGGCGAGGCGGCTGCGCGACCACTGAACGCCGCGGCCGCGACCCGCATCGATCCGACGCCCGCGCGCATGCTCACCACCTACGCCCCGGCAGCGTTGCAGCGCTGTCGATTGATTCCCCGATTCGGGTTCGCCGCTAATTTAATGAATCCGATACACAATGGAATTAAATTTGCCTGTAATGAAACTTTTGTACGAGATTTGTAATTTGCGGGTCGTTTTGTCCTGTCGATTAGTCTTCATTTTGTAAAGCGGAAAAATTCGGAACTCATTGATTCCTTTCTAAACGATTAACACGGGCACGGGCGCGTGTGCGGGTCAATGCTCTAAAAAGAAAAAAACCTCTTTTCTATAAAGAAAACCGTTCCTTATGTGTAAGACAGAAACAAAATGGAAAATTAACGGTTATTTTGTTAAGCCCACTTAATTAATAATTTTCAAATATTAATTCCTTCCAACCTTGGAAAATCTCCATCAATTGTTTTGATCAAATAGACACACTACAAATAGATACTTTACAAATTCAGGACATTCTACAAAGAACAATCCATCCCTCTCGCCTCGCCTATACCGTTAACATTACCTTCATTACAAAATATGACTTAAAACGGCAACAAAATGTGGCATAAAAACGCAAACGGACAGAGCGGACTGAAGAAAAACCTCAACAACCGTTAATTCTAAGTTTGGACCCTTAAAAGAGCTAGTCTATATTTAGACCTTTCCAGCAAATAAACAATTCAGCGGTGCAGGGCTGGCAAAAGCCGCTTTATTTCAAACTCTTATCCCATGACCTACTTCTATTCTTTCTCTTTGTTACTCCTATTGCTGAAGTGTATTTCTATCTCTATCGGTTGTAAGGTCGAGTTAGTCGGTCATAGAAGCTCGTAGCGATCTGGAAGAGGTGTAGGGATGGGCGGGAATGCTATCGATAAGAAAGAGGAAGCTACAAATGCTAGTATGAAGTAATATGAAACATGAGTACGTTTTTTATACATATTGACTACTTTACTTTAAGTGCAACCGGGCTATCTTTAAAATCAAGATGAGGTATCTTCTGGGCGGACATGTGGTACATTACTTCTTATAAGATGAGATTGTGGAAAAGGTGACCATATCTTTGTTGATAAATCATCATCATCATATCCACCGGAAGACGTCCACTGCTGAACACAGGCATCACCCAAATACATGACATAAATTATAAAAAAAATTACCTCTAAAGTTCGTGGAATTACATCTATTTGCCAAGTTTTATTGAAATTGGTTAACGGAAAGTGCGCGAAACCGGATTCATCCCCTAGATTTCCACCCTTAGAGTTGGATATTTTCTTCAAATTTAAATGGGACCAATACTAAGGTAGCCTCTTCCCAACAAAAAAGAATTGTCAAGATCGGTTCACAAATCAAAACTGGAGTTATCGCGTAACTGTCGAATTGAGAACCGCCTCCTTTTTTGAAATCGGTTAAAAAATAAGTAATTAAAGGTAAGCAAATCTACGCACGACACACTATGGGACATAATTTTGAGATTACCCAAAACACTCTTACCTAGATAACGCTGATATTAGAATGGTTGTTATGTCGGTAGGTTATGTTTTGTTTTTTCTTACTCCGTATACATAAAATAAGTTTCGATTTCAGAAGCATTTACTTTTTTATACTATGTAATAAATCTGAAACATCGTAATTTACTTAATAATAGATATTTTTTCCCATCTGTTATGAATCAGATTCATTTAAATTTGTGATTGGTTATTTTCTTATTGATATTTTAAAAATTCAAAACCAATTTCGGTCTTTAACCTACAACAATATCTAAAATCGTTTTCCCATCACCATGCTACCCTCGCTCTATCGCTACTTACAACGATGAATGAAAAGCGGGAATCGCTATACGTGGTTCGTAAAAATTACGCCCGCTTCGACTACAGCGCCGACGTCTCTTTATGTGGTGGAAATTGTAACTAAGAGAGGCGTCCAATTTACGTGTCGACTTCAGCGCCGCCACTTCTTTGTGTGGCGAAAATTGTAAGTAAGAGAACGGTCAGTCCTATTTATTTGTCGACTTTAGCGCCGCCGCCTATTTCGTGGTAAAAATTGTAACTAAAAGACGCCTAATTTATTCGCCACACTGGAAAACGTATCTAGTTTTTTTTGTTACGTTAAATAGTTTTAAAGTTGATTTTGTGTGGTAGGTATGAGTGGCATAGAATTAACGTTAGTTTTTAACTCTAATTTTTGTTTGTTTCCTGAATAGTCGCACGCGTAATTGTGGTTACACAAACAACATGCGTATTTATAAGTTTTTTTTAATTAGCTTTAAAAAAGGGATTGATTAGTAGAAAAAAATAATTACAAAGTGTAATAATTACAAATTTGTTTGAAAAAACAAATATACGCGATTTAAATCCGGAAAAATAGTTTCATTTAAAGTGGTTTAAACAATTTTATTTGCTGCAACAAATGTCATTTAAATTAATCTAATATTTTAATTTTTTTATTTATTATTTTTAATAGTTTCGAATAGACTGGTCGTCAATGTTTTTCCTACCATTGAAAGTTACTAATAAAAAAATGGTAATACTACGCAATTTCAAAACGTCTTCGCAATTCGCGTACAATACGGAGGTTATAATTATTTTGAAATCGAATATAATCATATTTTCTGCAAAAATAAGGAAATGCCGTTACCACCAGCAAGTGGTACTGGTAGATACTTTACAAAAGCCGCAAAATCGATCCGACTGATTCGTCAAGGATGCACGAATAGGCCTTTTTACCACATTTCAGTAACTCATGTAAGTAATTTATTCGAAATTATGTTGATTTATAAATTAGTGTTAAAGATTGTTGGGATATTTTCAGTGCTAAGATTGATTACTAGTTAATTATACTGAAGTTTTTTTTCAAATCGCAATATAAATGATATAACCAAAACATGCATTCTTCTGCGTGCGTTCCTCAACTATAAAGATGGTATCGATGGGTTTGTAACATTATAAAGTAGAAGTCATATTTTTGCAAAACTACCGCATATAGTCATTTTTACTTGACTTTGGTGAAATCATCGTTTATTTCGATGGAGCCATAGCATTTAAAAGAAGTCTCGCTTCGTTTGGGCCACATGCAACTTACTTGTACGCACGGCTGGTAAGAATACATGCTGTCTTAATGAAATACAAAATACTGTCATTAACAGTCTTGAAATAGCAAGGCCTAGTCTCAAACTCGAGCGTTCCCTGTATTACAAGTAGTAGAGCAACAGAATTCACTTTCGGACACTTCCCAGAACAACCAGACCAGAACCAATTTAGACCAGTGCCCACAGTGCAAACCGTTCGGTGAACTAGGTCCTCTATGTCAAAAATACAAAACATGGTACTTTAACCATGTTTATTTTCATATACTAAATACTTTCATATATACCTTCAATTTTGCCTAATGTAATGTTTTAGATATTTATCATATTTTGTTTCATGAACCAGTGATGGGATCAGCGATGCCTATATTGTTGGGAATTTCAAATTGTTTGAGCTCAATTGGGGTTTCTGTGGGGATTGGTGCTATGTGGGGACAATGTGGGCAATTCTAGCATAGCGTCAATAGAGCCAATGAAACCTAAACCACATAGTACCAATCCCCACAAAGGCCCCAATCAAGTTCAAATGAGTTGAAATTCTCCACACATTGGAAAAAATCTGGATGGGACACAATAAAGTGCAATCGAGAATTAATGCTAAAATTTAACAACTGAATTATGGCATATTTTAATCAGTAAAATTCATTAATAGGGTCTTCCTCATGAATTGAAGAGGTGTGACAACATGTATGTGCTAATTTTCAGTTTAATTTCCATAAAGTGTATGCACACCCCTAAATAATAGTGTATTATTAACACTATCACTAATACTAAAAGTGAGTGTTTATTACATTATTTTGGTATGGCCTGTAAATTATTTTTTAACACTGTGCTGCTGCACTGCTTGAACACCAAAAAATGATTTGATGATAAATAAATTGAGTGCCCACATAATACTGCAACTTGTTTTCTTGTCAGCAAATAATTGATAAGTCCAATTTACTATCCACTGTGAATTATATACTTCCGGACTCATAATTCGAGCCACCTCGCATTTTTGTCGTAAAGGGCTACAGTATACAGTAGTGTTATCACCAAAGAAAAAGTTTTTCCCCGGATTTGCAAATCCAAATTTCCAATTTTTGATCAATTTAACATTGTTCAAGCTGTAGGGCATTTAATACTGAAAATGCAAGGTAGTTCGAATTATGTGTCCGGGAGTGTATCTCTATTCAAGTGTTTAATTTCATTCATTCTAGAGGCGAAGACTTAACAGCCAACCAGTAATAGAGCAGCTGGGTTCTTACGACCCTGTGCCCAACATGTACAAAGAGAAACTAGTAGCATTGAATCTGGAGAGAATCAAGTACTGGCTTGGAAAGGGAGCACATGTTAGCAACCCTGTTGCTGAGTTGCTTGGTAAGATATTTTTAAATAGTAATGGACCCTTGCAGCTACTTACATACATTTAGAGCGTGTACACACGACTGCATCGAGTCAGTCGCTTATGTTGAATCATTAAAAACTTGCAGCGCATTTTCCATTTTCAGGTTTATCAGGCTTCTTCCCAATCCACCCTCGCTCCTACATGACGGCGTGGAGAAATAGAAGAACAGAATGAGAGAACCTTGCAAAGCTGGAAGCTGAGAATGCTAAAGCAGCACTCACTGAACCTTCATCATAATATAGTTGTTCATTTAGTTATTAGTCCTCAATTTGGAATAGTTAAAATATATTATTAGCACCATTATGTACATTTGAATTTAGGCAATGGAAAACTTTCAAAAAGCTCAGAGGAAAATATGATAACTCATTTTACTTTGGTTTCTTTCTTTACTTAATTCTTGAATTAAAAGTTGACCAGCAAGATTTGAACTGTGTTACGGTATTGTACATACCTCATTTCTTAATTAACTTACTAGGCTTTATTTTAATGACATTCTACATTAAATAACAGTGTACATATGCATTTTACTAGAATAAAACTCTATTGTTCAATGAATTCCTTTTATTTGAAAAATGAAAATTCCTCAAGTGGAGACACGATGGTGAATGTCAACGGCACACTAACACTTGCCATTAAAAGCTTGTTTGAAATGACATTGCAAAACTTTTTAAACAATTTTTTTTTCTTATCTACTTATAATAGCCTAATTTAAACAATAACACATATCCCAAAACAGGAAAAAATCTTTTTATTTAATGCAATTTTGATATTTTTGTTGATTAATTGAAAAAAAATTTAACGTTTTTTTAGAGATATTTTAAGGCTGTACATTTGTCAAATAACATAAAATTTTGAAAAAAATATTACACATAATTGGCATGCCAGACAGTAAAAATTTTATAGACTTGATTTCTTATTTTCAGTTTAAATACTTGTTTTCAAAGTTTCATTGAAATAAATAACATTAAAAACTAGATGTATACAACTAGAGCCCACTTTGTTGCCCACTTTAATAAATAATCAAAAATAGGTGAAAATTCAATCACATTATCATTTCACTGCCATGTAGTTAGTTTTTTAGTAAAATTTAAATTCAGAATGAATATATATATAATAGATGTTAGTTTAAAACGGGCAACAAAATCGCAATGGTTTAGAAATTTAAAGAAAAAACATTCCTTGAGCAAAATCTACTGTTCAGTAAGAGAAACATGAAATTCATGTTTAAAGAGATCTTAGATTATAGAAAAACGGAAAGTGAAACAAAACCATGGCGTCAAACTGTAGTGTACTGCGTGACATCGTAAACCTAATAAGGTCTGATTTAAAATGCTCGGAATTTTTTAAGTTAGGCCGCCCATCCATAGTTATGCTTGTATCACACGAATATACATAGAACATAGGAAATGAAACAATTTTTTTTTGTTTCTCAAAGAAACCAACATTTCGGGCACTTTACAGGTCCCATGGCCACAGCTGACGTTTGTTTGTTTAAAAAAAATACGCGATTCCAAAAAATAGTTTCATTTCCTATGTGTAACAATCGCGAAAACCCAAGAACTCGATACACAAATACATGCAATGATTATACTTTTGTGTTGTTGAATATATGTCAAAGAATGTGCCTTGACGTCACCAGTCTCAACCGTGGCCATGGACGTGCGCAGCTACGGATAAGCGACTTTACTTTTGGACCCTTAAATTGTAGCGACGGCACTGGTTTTGCCATCAATGATCATGTTGTCAATAAAAGTTTGAGCTTGTAAGTCCATAATCAAATACAGCAGTCTATAGTTTAAAACAAAAAAATAGCTTTCAAAACACCCGTCATAATCTATAAATGAACGTCTTACGCAAAGTTATACACCAAAGACAACTAACCTAATCGAACGCTGAATTCTCAGATAGGTATATAAAAAAATGTAGTTCAAAGCAAGCAGTAATATCGAAAATCACTAATTACAAAGATGTAATAACGAGAAAAGAAATGGTTCACGTTTGAGAAAGTCTTAAACTTTAAGTCTTTAAAACCAGAAAATGTTATAAATTGGCCCACCACCAATAACTTTTTTAAAGTTTTGCGTTAGTAAAGACGTCTCATATCTTTGTCGGTTGAAGTGTCAAAAATGGTATAAAAGTACGCCTCCGAAATTAGTCGCAGTGTCTAACTTACAATTTAGAAACACAATTGCAGCGCCACTGTCGCGACGTGCCACTTTTGCAGGCACAATTAGTGAACTAAAAATGACTAAACTACAAAGATTAATAAAAAGAAACTCATTACTAAATTACTACAAAGTATCCCTTTTTTTCCGCCCTAATTGATCCAAGATTTAAACCTATTCAACCGACACAGTTACTTTAATCTAAATCAGTAACATTGTGCTTAACGAAAACCTGACAAATTAAGCACTATCTCTGTAAAGTAGTCAACACACACAACATACGCATTCCAAAAAATACTTAAATTAAAATACAATTTTTTGTACAAACAGTTTGTTTATTTTTCGAATAGCGTAACGGGAATCTTACAATATTTTAAAGTAAACAATTACTTAACGGAAGATATTGTTACAGCTATCTTTGTTTTGTATAAAAAGGTTACATTGTTATTGCCTTAATTGCGTTAATTGTATTCGAAGTTGACGGAGCCACATTTGAAATCGGTAGCACTGATGATGTCTTTTGTAATACAATATACTTGCATAACACATTAAAAAAAAAGGAATTATTTTTTTATGACAATGACACCGTCACCTCTATGCTCACGTTTTAAAAACAATTGACATCTCCCGCGCTTTTGACTAAACTTCATTAGCTTTTAGTTACATGATTTAATGAGATATCAACAGTAAATTGTAATAAACCCTATACTACTATATATAAAGCCCAAACTTCGGAGATATTCGTGTTATACGAAACTTGACGATTGCATAAGCTTATTTCATTCTCATATGATTCTAACGTATTTCTTTCATCAATACTGTGATTAAAAATGTACCTTAACAATTTAGATATTATGTTAATATTCGGATAAGGTTACTCAGTGATATTCTGTATCTGAATTATCGAATGCATTATTGATTAAAAAAATTCGTGTCTGCCGACACGAATTTTTTATTGTAACCGTTGGAGCCGTACTTACCTGTATTTGAAAAGAAGAAACGGAAAGTAGACAGGGGCTTGTCCACAATGCTATGCGTTTTTTTAATAAATGCCTGGACTTTACAAACTAGTACTACCTTGTAATATTTTTAACAGTATAACGGAACGAAGAATGTGTCAACTACGTCAAATGTAGCTCGTCAAAACAAGTGGTTAATAGATTTGCAATATTTTTATTTGAACCAATGGTGTGCTGCGAAGCAAAGGTGCGTTTGTACTTGTCGCTTTCGAATACTTTAACGCTTAGTTGTTCTTTCTAACCACATCTGCTACCAGGCGAGTAGCTGAAACACAAACGTAAATCATAAATACAAAATACTTAACAATCTCAATTTTTTTTAAATATCGGGTTTGAAACTATCAAGATATTTATTTCTTTGACAATTATACGGTACATACTCATTAATTATCACTTTAATTTTTGACCAAAAATGACAAACAGTGGGAAAACTAAATAAACACGAAGAAAATCTTTGGGAAAACTGTGTAGTTTGTGATTTTTTCGTGAGATTGACATTTGGCACGTTCGGATAGGACTCTGATACAAACCTATGGCACAGTTCTAGTGGTAACATTTCGTTGCTCTAATTAATGAGATAATTTGTTTGCTGCCTACATAACATGAAAAAGAAAGATAATTAACTTGATAATTATCAAAATAATTGTCACTTCGAACCCTGATAATTATCAAAAATTAAATGCTGTCAATTTTCAGGTATAAACAGGTTAGCGACTCTCAATTGTCTCCACCTACGTCCCAGTCAAGCAATGAATGCCGCAGACCCTGTTATGTATGTAAAGCATAGTAAAAGAGACAATTAAGGTCGCATCTGCAAAATAGGGATTGAAATGTAGTCGAATACTAGTGATACAATCGCTATGCTGGTGGGATGCAGTCGTGCCGACTGCACTCGTACTGCTTTTGGACTGCATTTCAATTGGTATTTCGAATGCTGACTAGGTCTCTCACGGGACACGGTAGTTTGAATTGTCACATGTCAAGCTGAGATCAGATGCTTGTAAATTTTGACATGAAGCGAATGACGTATCTCAGCTTTTCCAAAGATAATTTTGCCACTTTAATGGGCACATAACAATTTTGAATTCTGTAGGACACAGTGATGATGAAGGACTGCAATATGGCCCGAAGAATTACTTCAGAAATAATAATAATAAAATCCCTTAGCTAACTGCGCCATTGCCAGGGAATATCCATAGAGTTCCATATGTTGTGGATATTCCAAGGATTGGAAGGAAGGACACGAAGCGTTAAGCGTTTAATGGTGAGTGGAATTTCCTGCTTACAGAGAACGCTAAAACTTGGGCGAGAAAGGCGAGAGTGAATAGGCATTATTTAGGTGTGCATGCTCCATTATAGACCTCATCGTCACTTTCTATCAAGTGAGATGGAAAATACGCACATATATAATTTCATAAAATAAAGATCACCGCATCTCCCATTAAAAAAATCAAGCATTTAGTCAATCTTCAATGTGCTATACGAGTTATTCTTAATCTCGATTAACACTGAAAGTGACAGTTGGTTAAAAAGAAAGATAATAAATAACAAGCAATGTAAGAAGCCCATTTAAATGCCCGGTGTGAATTAAGTATTAAAAGTAGTTTTCGCGGTTGTTACAAATGTTAGTGACATTATGTTTCGTCGCTATGTGCGACGATAACGGTAGTAAAAAAAAAATACAATGCTTTTAGTCTGTTACCGAATGAATACCTAATACGGCCCACGGAATGAAAAAAGGCACATCAACACTTTTATAAAAACTGAGTTACATTATAATATACATTAAACATCAGGAAAAATGGCCCATTTTTATTCTTGGTTATACAGTAGAACATAAAAACAATCAGATTTTGTAATGTACGGAACTGTGCCCTTATGGAATTCAATTATAATAATTACTTCATAAATAACACAATAAGGCCCAACGACTACAATTGTGCCATTGAGTCCTATTATAAGTACCTATTAGTCACATTTCAGTTACTTCGCTCTTTACTCACGTAATAACATTTTTTGAATATTTTTCTCTATTACGTTAAATTAAAAGTTTATGTTTTTTTTTTAAAAAGGGCAAATACAATAATAATTTCTGTATAAAACATGCATTTTATATATTGAGCATAAATAAACTATTTAATATAAAAAACGGTCGGAAAGGCGTTTAGTGGGACGATTTGATGGGTTTGAAGGGTGGTGAGAAATCGCCAAAGACAGGGAGCACTGGAGGATTTTGGGGGAGAACTTTGCCCAGTAGTGGGACACACTACGTTAATAAAAAAAAAATATTTTAACTATTATTTTTATCAGAAATTCAGTCATTTATCTCGTATTTCGGTAAACAATTTAACTCACATTCATACACTGTCGAAGCATGCAGTTAAAAAAGTGCTCCTAGACACACTTTTAACTTTACTAAATTATCATGACACCGAAAACCTGTTAATGTGAAGAAATCCACGTCATCAATTCAACAATGTTAATAAAAAATTTATATATAATTCGTTAATCTATTTATGATACTATTTATACTTGAGACTTATTTTCACTGCCTCCTCCACGCACTTCCTACACCGTTAAAGCCGTAATTGTTAACATTATATACTACAGTTATCTAGCTAGTTGCAATTGTAGGTGTGCTAAAGCAGTTAATATATTTTTTTAAGTAAGCATTAAAATACAATTAGAATGAGGGCTACATCGTAAGAAACGCAGTTAAATACATTAAAAGCTACTTAATTTTGACATAGTTCCACTTACCAATGGTGTTCTAATTTACTATTAACTGATTTAGTCCATTTTACCTAAAACCAGGTACATAGTTAGTAATTGAACATTTATTTTTGTGCAGTGGTAAAAAAATTATAAAACTACTTTTAATTTTCAAAATAGACATTAATGTAGTCTTTGAAAAAACAATAGGGTGCAGACAAATTAAGGTCGGAAGCCTACCCATCGGATCAGCACCGCGTGGATACCCACAGGTGAGCTTTATGCGAGAGTGTAGATAGGTAAGACTTGACGCTTATAATTAATATTGACTGTGTAAGACACGTACATAGTTGACCTTTTAAAACAATATCAATCGTAGGCCAGATAGATTCACGAATTTTCGAAAGCTTTCTTTATCAACACTCAACAATACTCGAGCAACGTGATACCGGTCAGGACGCTATGTAGTAGTCAAAGTTTTACTTGCAAACGATTGGGAGAAAATGTTTATTCCTAATTTTCGTTGCTTTTCCGATATCAGAAGATATTTGTTGTTAGGAATGGTAATGGAATAACTTTGCTCGCTTACGAACATATTGTGGTTCGTTTTCGAACGAGTTGGGCTCGTATTTTCAGTTTTTTCTGCTAGATTAATGAAATAAGTTTCGTTTTTGTTGCAAAATTACGTCGCAGTAAGAGCAGTTTATTCGTTCGTTTTCTGCTAGTGCAACTTAGTCATCAGAAATGCTTTACATGAGCTGAATCAGGTGATATAATCAGCATTTTACGGGGATGCCGATGACGTCTAATGCGTACGGTACGGTAGATATCAAATATTTACGCTGATGATCAGTTGCCGTTTTTAGCCTGGTTTGATTTGTCATAAAATTGTTTGCGAAAAATGCCGTAAGGCCCGGCGCTCATTGGCGGGACTGCACAGCAGTGGACTTTTAAGTGACGAATAGTAATATACCTTACAGTTACGAAATTATAGTTGACATGTCAATGGTAATGGTCGTAGTTACGAAAACAAAATTTCGGTAAGCTTTGGGATACCGAGTCGGCAGCCTACTAAATGCCTAGGCAGGCTTTTACGTTTAACGTTACGATTAATTTCAATAGATAGCTAGGCGTCAGCACGATGTCGCGACGGTATGCTTCGGCTTCGGATGGCGAAGGGCCAATGCCCCTTGCCATACCGTCTCGCCAATGGGCGCCGGCCCTAAGTATCCTGACAAACATGGCAGACGGCCTGCGAATTTTTGACATAAACGAGTACTCCAAGGCGTACTTTTGGGATATTTGTGATGAATCCACGTTTCTTTCATATATGTTACGTACTTCACTGGTAGAAATTTGACGTAAATATCAAAACCCTAAATTGGCTAATAATACAAAAACAAAAAAAATGTAGATACTTATAAGGAAATTACGCATCTTGAACAAAACTATGGCGGAGGCGCGCCGCGATCGCTGAGCTTCTTTATAGAGGAATCAATCTTTTCTTCGTACTTTTTAATTGTTTCTCTCGCTATCTCTGCACTTGTTCGTCGTTCACCGTGTTGCCTATATCCTTAAAAAGGATGAGGTCATGAGGTCTTTGTTCATAAGTCTACCGGTCAGGCCCCGTACAATAACAGAAGTGTTGCAAATCCAGTGGTACAGTAATGCTGAGTGCTTTTTACCACACGGAATCCAACCGGTAGTTTGTCGCGGGATCGCGATTGTAGGTGTGTAATAAATAACTAACAATGTTTTCGCCTAAAATGCACGGAGAATGAAAATGAAAAAGACTAATTTATTTAAGTACGTAGTAGTAATATTATTTAAGTATTTCTAACCCAATTTAATACATTCGAAGACAGTTGAACCAAAAAAAGGAATAAAGAAATAGTGTAAGGACAGCGCGTATCAAATTTAGTTTTTTTTTAATGTAAAGTAGAAGGCAAACGACGAAACGAGCCACTGGGTGGGAGGAGATGGTGATCGTCGCCCACGGATATCTGTAACATTAGAGGAGCTGCCAATCTTTGAGAGCCTTGTTGAATCGCTTTTTTTTTATTGTTTACTGTACAAAATATAATTTACTGTACAATACAATAAGTTATAAGTATTCATAGAGTCTACAGTTTGTTGACGCAAAAAGAAATCTAAGGTACGGTAAAAGTAGTACGTATAAACTCAGATAGGGCAACGTCCATTTTGGACTCGCAAAATTTTGAAGTCTCGACCGGTTGACAATTTGCATATCCAATAAAATACATTATCAAATAAATAATATTATTTAAATTCATAAAACTTTGAAATAAGTTGGAGAAAAAAATCGAAAATGCGTAAAAAAAGATTTGTTTTTGAACGTAGCATGACTTCCATTTCGATTAGTTTAAGTCTCGTTCACACTTGCAATGATTTTTGAGACAGTTTCTTCAACCTGTCCCTAGTAAAAAATATAACTCCAGTGCAATTAAAAATACCTAATAGGGAAATATGAATGAAACTGTTTGTCTGCGATTGAGGGCAGTCAACTTGCATTCACCTGGTTCAAGAATGTATGGAACTTGAGCATTGTTGATAGTACACAATACGATGATTGAAATTTTTATAACCGCATCGTAATTATCTTGTGAAGATAGCCATTTGAGTCCGATTGGACTGTTCTACCGTGTCTATTCTTTTTTGCAGGACGGACCTCCAAGCTCTGAGGACACTATTAAGCTTGTACAGGCTGCCGAAGCGGAGTATAATACAAAATGTCTTGAATAGATATAACGCGAACGTTGTTTTCGGTCTCAGTGAATAATAGCCACACGAGTGTCGGCTTAATTAAGATCTGCTGCCGCAAACTTTACAGGCGTTTCCACTCAAAGAAGGCGTTAGTTTCGAGCAAAACTTTGCAGATTCCTTTCAAGTTGTTCATTGGTAGTCGTCACCGCTGTATATACTTGCTCACCGGCCTAATAATCGCGATGGGGTGTTTGTTTAGAAACCGGGTGATATTATTTGTCTAATCTGCCGTCCGCTAACTAATAAGCGGCCAAGTGACAAAATATTTTTTTGAGATATTTGGTATATCCACTTTAAAGTTAAAAATAAAATGTTGTATGAGTAACTACACGATATATTCAAGCATAGACATTAATCAGAAACATACAACAATAAAGTTTCCTCGATAGATAAAAATCACGAAATGACCTCTAATTTTCACATTTTTTCGATTTATCCTCGAAATGCTACAGGTTATTAGGACAAAAATTAGATAATTAATTATATTTATGCATGATCGACAACTGTCACTACGGATTTTTTTTTAATCCCTTTAGTTTTAGAGTTATTCCGCTAAAACGAATTTGGTACTTTTAATGCGCAAAATTCAACATCTCCTGTCGCATGTCACGCGAACTTCAGGCATATATTTGTTTCACAAATTTGGGCGGAGCCAACGTCAAAACTTTTTTGGCATGAGAGCTCTTAAACAGTGGTAGTAAAATTTTTCGTCTATACATCTATAGCCTGCTATGAGGTCTAATTGGCCATACTGCCAGATTACAATAGGTTATAGGTAACTTAGGTTGCAATTTTGTTTATAGATTAATTTTGTGACATTTTGTCGAGGGAAATCGTTATTATCTTTATGGTGGCCATTTTCAAAATTGACAATTAAAAATCATGATTTAATTTTTTTTATGTTTTCACCCATTTATTTGGGTAAGCAAAGGCATCTTACAGCCTGTTCACATATATACTCCCGGACACATAATTCGAGCCACCTCGCATTTTTGTCTTAAAGGCCTAGAATCCAAAAGTAGTGTTATGGTCAAAGAATATGTTTTCCTCCAGTTTTGCAAATCCAAATTTCCAACAAGGATTTATGGAAAGGACGTTTAGTATACTAGTTTCAAAATTGTTTAATAATTTTTGATCAATCAAACCTTGTTTAAGTTTAGGGCATTTAATACTGAAATGAGAGATGGCTCGATTTATAAGTCCGGGAGTGTAGTATGTATCCCTTGTTTTGTTGGAAATAATTGCATTAATAAAATATATACAAATGAAAATGTAATGATTTTTTTTATGTTGTAGATATTCCAAGGATTCGCACGACGCGTTTCGCTTCCACATTTAAATAGCGAACGGCTATGGAGTGAAATTCCCCGCTTGCAGACTAGTTCCCTGAACGCTGTAACTTGGGCCTTTTAAGGTGAGAGTGAATAGGCATTTTTTAGGCGTGCATACTCCATCGTCGAACTCATTGCCACTTCCCATCAGGTGAGATGGAGGTCAAATGCGCACTTACTTTTTAAAAAAAAAATTGCTGCCCCGAGAGAAATTTCGATTTGTACAGGCGTATTTAGTTCTGTGTACCTAACACAATGTCTTGGAAGTACCATAAGTTCTACATTTTGGTGAAAAAATATAGACAACAGCACTAATTGCAAATAAAACATTTTGATAGTTCCTAGAAATTGACAGTGCTTTTTTGGAGCTACAAAGAAAATTAAAAAAAATATTAAAGTATAAGCTATCTTTATTTATTAAACAACCTAAAAATGTTGATAGTAACAAATGGTGGACTGTATACTATAATATAGTCTACTGTATCTCTTCTGACAATTCAATTTCTTTAAATAAAACTATATGATACGGAAGCATTTTAGCGAAATACCATGTTAAGGCATTACGAACTTCAAGGAGAGCGACTCAGGTAGTTTAATTTATCAAAGACAAATCAAATGAGTCTTGTGTAGTTATGACGATTATCTAAGCATATTTTCTCTCCGTCTAGGTTTTCAATTATAACAGAAAGATACAGATGCCTATTATATACATCATAATACGCCAAAACTTAACGCAGTGCTAAACCCAAAGTTATAATGGCATAAAGACCCGGAGCTCAGAGAAGTCAAATCACAAATGGCCTTCGAAACGTTCAAAAGCCAAGACTACACAAATGGGACCCGTAACTTTAGATGAGTTTAATTATTGATGGACATTGACCATTACGGACGATTAGTTTTCCTTTTTATCGGAATTTTGATAAAATTCATTTCATTCATAAAAAAGCTTGTAAAATGACAACATAAATGTCGAGTTTTAAAAAAAGCTTATTAATAACCTTTTTAGAGACATTGAGAAGCTAAAGCTGTCAAAAACCTGCACCAAAGTCAACTTGGACTCTTGACATTGACTTGAATTTTTTTAAAGCCATTAAGTACACCCAAACACGTATCCTCAAAAGCACTTCCTTTTAACTTAGCAATACCTTTAATCAGAATGCCCCAATTTTTTTATGTCTGCATGGATGTTTTTGACAACTTTTCTCGCTTGTTTCTCTAAGTATTTGGCGGTCTCCGCAATTTCCTTTAGAGTTTCGTCTAAAAACATCATAAAGTCACTTATTAAATACAAAACACGTATTTTTCTACTAAAATGTTCGTTTTGTATAATGCTTTTAACAATTGAATGAACTTCGTTGAACATTGCTTGATTTTATTGGATAATTGTAATGGCAATAGGGGATTAATATTAATTCTAGCGCAAAATGAACATGACAAGCAAAATTTACATTTTAAACATTTGAATTTTGTATTAATCATTTATATATATATGATGACTGACAATAACTGTTAAACGCGATTTGTTTATGGACGCGGTTCTGTTATACGGACTAACAGTCTCGAACGACAGTCTGATGTTCAGAATTGAATGTCAAATCCTACAGATTTTGGTAACTCATTGTATATGCAGGAATTACCGAAGATCAGAAATAACTTCACGCTTAACATTGATTAGACGTTTAGGGCTTGGTAAGTGGTGTTTAAACCGAACGAAGCTTTAACTTACCAGAATTGGCAATGTCGTCAATACGGCCGTGGTTCTTCAGGTAATAGGGGCGGATGAGGCGATGGTAGATGATCAGCGAGCCGTTGTAATCAGTAGGGAGGTAGCACCATATTATGAAGATGCACTGGAAATACACATTAAAATATATTATTTACTAGCAAACATATACATATTTTAAGTCCAACTAACTAGATTTGGACCTATGCAATGGTGTGGAGATTTAAAAAACTTTTTTCTCTATCGACAATATTCGGTGAACAATAGAACTTGGACCTTTTCAAGACGAGAGTGCATAGACTTTAAATGTATAGGTATGCATGCTCCATTGTCGACTTCACCGTCACTTTCCATCAGGTGAGATGCAGGTCAAATACGCAATTATTTTTTAACCGACTCCCAAAAAGGAGGAGTTTAATTCGACTGTATTTTTTTGTATGTAGGTATGTTACGCGATAACTCGTTGAACGTGTGAACATATTTCGATGGTTCTTTTTTGTTGGAAAGAGGATACCTTGGTAGTAGTCCCATTTGAATTTGAAGAAAATATTCCTCCGCCAAGGGTGACAAACTTTTGAGGCCTGTTTTTTAGTACTCTGTACCGAGATTATTTATTAAAAAAAAGAAAATATATAAAAATTAAAACCACCTCCGGACACAGCTTAACTTCAACGTGAAACTGGAATGGCAATAGGAAAAAAGCAGAACAAAATGTTCCACCAGTTCGGTATTGTTATCAACACAAAGACCGAACGAACAAAAAACCCAATCCGAATGGACTCCAATCAGTGCTTGTTGCATCAATCTTACGAATTTGTCTATGTGCTTGCTGCACATTAATAATAATAGACTAGTACAGTATTTTCACACAAAATAGATGAATATCATGATATTCAATAAAAATTATAAAATGTTCCACCGTTTATTATGTCACCTAATTAATTTTTTTTCTGCAGTATGTTCAGTAGGTAGGAGCGAGATAAAATTCTTAACTAGAAAATTATAGTCATAGGTGTCATAGTGTCATAGGTGATAGATACCAGGGCCGCAGGGGTCTCAGGAGGATAAGTATTAAATATATAAATTATTTAATTCTCGCGCATGCTCACGCATTTCTCGGAGGCTCTTGGTTCGTTTCTAGTTTGTACGTTACACAATTGATCATAAAGTTAATTATGCTATATTACAAAAATTCGCTTCCACTCCAATCCGCCGCAATATAAATTGAACCTTAGTATGCGGGCTTGTTGGCCCAGGTGGACAGGGACTTCGGCCATAAGAACGTCCTATAGATAATAGACTAATTTCTTAGAAACTAGCAAACCACTCAGTTCAATAAAGTAAATTACATTTAGATAATCTCGTTTCAAGGTGTCGGTGAACTAAATTAAGCGTAAAGTATGGCGATTCTGATGTTCATGTGGTTATTATTATCTCTCTTAGTTGATTTGCAGTCAAATTGGGTTGTTGTAATATATTAGGCCTTATTCAGAGTGGCGGCGGGCGCGGATGCGTGTAAATCAAATGTACGTATAGAGCTCGTTGCGTTCAGTGGCCGCGCGGGTAGATATTGGCTAGGTCCGTCTGTACCTTTCACAGTGCTTGGTCTAGCGTCTAGCGACTTCGGCCCTGTGAAAGGGAAGACGCCAAGACCAGCGCGCCCGCATCCGCCGCCGCGCCAGCGCCTGCACTCTGAATGAGCTCTTAGTGTTGCTCGATGCAAGACCAAGATGAGACTAACCCAGTCTTGAATGAATGAATGAATGAAATATTCTTTATTGCACATAAAATTACAATTAAAATACAATACAATAGCTTAAGTATAATAGTAGTAGTAAGTCAATGTGCAACAGGCGGCCTTATTGCTATGTAGCAAATTCTTCCAGGCAACCTTAGGATAGACATTTCGGATATGCAAAACTTCTTGTCTTTGAGTCTTGGTGTCGCGTCAGACCGCAATGTATAATGGCACAATTACGCATTTTTCGCGTATTCGACTGGTATTTATCTACGATAACGGTTGAGCGTGTTCTGAAGTGTAGCAGCGGCAAGTAAGTGAATTTCACTTACATTGGACACGCGAAGTACGTACACTTGCGGCGTCTATCTAGATATATGTCTGTGATCAATATCTAACGCCTATATCTGAGATTGACGTAACTGCGAGAAGCAAGAGTCTCGCAGACTCGTGTCCACTTGCATTAAATTAAGTTCGTCTTAAACCAATGATTGCAATGCAAAAGAGATTCTTAATGTTCTTAATACATTGTGTTAAGAGAATCTTATGAATTTAAGCATTGGTTTAAGACATACTTAAATTTAGTGCAAATGGACATTAATCGTGTTCTTGTTCAAATGTTGCAGAGCCGGTCTTGGTCTTGCATATATTCACAAAATTAATCAAAACAATCAAGAACTTGTTCAAGCAATTCTACTTATTGCCTCCGTGGCCGAACGGTTACCATGCCGGACTGCCATGCAGAGGTCCCAGGTCGGGAGAAATATTTGTATAGCCTACATTTATTTCTCTCGCGAGTTTGGGTGTAATTTGTGGTTGTCTATGAGTGTGTCCACGGCACCCGCGACACAGGGTTTCCCCAGTGCGGGGCTATGTTGTGTGTGTGCGTGACTTAACATCTGGACTACCCAATAATATTATGTTGAACTTCCGAATCAAATACTAACTTAGTGATGTATGTTCTATGTTGCACTAATAATAGTATTTCCTTATGATGGTATAGTTTAACAAGCAATGTAAGGTGACTCGGAATTAGTAGAGGCGAAGCTGCAGAGCCTTGAACACCGCCGTGAAGTTGCCTGCTTATCGGTATTCTACAGGATATATCACGGAGTATGTGCGATGGAATTGCATAATTGTTTCCGTCTTCCTCTTTCCATCATCGGGGGACTTGACGTGGGGTGCGTTTCCACCCTTACGTTGTGGATATTCCCAGGATTCGCACATTTACATGTATATGGCGAGCGGCTAGAGAGTGGATTTCCCTACCTGCGGATTTATTCCCCGAACGCTATAACTTGGACCTTTTCAAGGCGAGAGTGAATAGGCATTATGTAAGTGTGCAGGCTACATCGTCGACCGCATCATCGCTTTCCATCAGATGAGATGGAGGTCAAATGCGCACTAATTTTTTATTGAAAAATAAGCACAAACTGAAAAAGGAGCTAAACAGCGTAGGTATTATTTTTTTGTCAAAGAATTTTCGAATCTAAACCGCGTGGATATTATTTTTTCAAACAAACCAGCGTTTCGGACTCTTTACAGGTGTTCTTTACGGCTGACATATGTATACAGAGTACAAACGTGTAAGACGCCAAAAATTAAAGACCTACAAAAACATTCCACAAAGATTGATGGCATTGTCTATCTCTTTATCTTATGCAGACTTTGGATATGAGCCAAGGCAATGCCAATGGAGACAAACATTCTGAACAGTGGAAACAATTATTATTTGGGATTTACCGTTTAAAATATTTTATGTGTGTTGAATAGATGATAGAGTATGAAAGACACTACCAGAAGCTCAAATATAGTTGTTTATGTAGAGTCATTCATAAATTTCGTTAAATTCATTTCTGTGTTTTAATAAACCTGAAAAGAATAAAAATGGACTTTTTTCTGGAGCTTTAGGAGCTATAAGCATTCACATTGCTCCAAAAGGAATTTAGATATTGTTTTTCTGTTATAATATAAAAGTTTTTTTTTAAATTAACTTTAATTTCAACTTTCAAACTTTTGAGACGTTTTTATCAATATTTCTATGATACTACTTATTAGTTCTATGATACTTTAAGTTACAACACGAATCTAGCGATACTTCTTACACCAAATTCCAACAATCCGTTCAAGATTAAGTAGAAAAACAAAAGCAGTAAAACTATTTCCAAAAATAGTTTTTACTGTACCGTAGAATAAAATTATTCACGAGAAAGCTGAAGTTGGATTTTAAAGCAATTCTAGTGACGCCATGAGAAAAAGAAATAGCAGAGCTCTTTATGAGTTCGTCCAAAGAAGTACCGCCGCCCACCTGCAACGTGAGCATTACTGTGTTTCGGTTTTGAAGGTTAAGGGTTCTGGTGAAATTACAGGCACGTGGGACTTATCAACTTATGTCTCAGGGTGACGAGGGCAGTAGCAGTGCATCTCAGATGTTTGTGATTTAAAGCTCTGAGTGGTAGTGCAATTGCACCAGGCGTACGACTTGTTCGCCCCGTCACTTGGTATCGTAACAAAAAAATGTGCAAATAAAATTATTTACGTAGATTAATTCTGTAATATCATTGCAAGTGATGTTAAGGTTATAATGTCCAAAAATAAACTCAACTATGACTATAAGTACGGAGCAGTCGTGCACAATATCAAGAATGACATAATTGTCAACCTTGAAAACGCCCCGGGTCATTTCATATCACCTGTTTGTTATGTACCTACTAAATCAGCGATGTAATAAATAATAGTACTACGTGAAATGCGCCACGCTTGAAAACGTACGTGTGAGAACATTATTTTAAGCAACAAGTTGATTTCTTTTTTGTTAAAAAAAGTGCGCGCATTTGACCTCCATCTCACCTAATGGAAAGAGACGACGAGGTCGATGATGGAATATGCACACATAAACCAATCTCGCTTTGAAAAGGCACAAATTATACAGTTCAAGGAATAAGTTTGCAGGCATCCCTGGAATCCCTGGAATATCCACAACATAGGGATCGCCTACGTCTGGTCCACCGATGATGGAAAGGGGAACACGGAATCAAATTATGCAATTCCATCGCATACTTTCCGTGTTAATGTTGCAATCATGCTGTAGAATAGTATACTTATATTCTTGAGCCTAATCGAGTTTTTGCAATTAATTTGATACCGTACATGCAATGGGAGTAAAATGGATGACGTTTATTTTTTGTCAGACTGCAGTAATTATATAGTAAGTAAAATTAGGTACATTGTATTCAACCTGCAAACAGTTGTGCAAATATTGTTAGAATTTAATGTTAGGTCTCTATAGTTTCAAATTAATGTAAGTACCTACAGCAGAATTTGTAAATTCTAAGTATTCTTTATTCATGTAGAAGCAATGTGCCAAAAGCCATTTTGTCAATTGTAAT